CTGTTTACTACTAACATGTTTGCTGCAGAGAAATGACACTTGAGGATGGGCCACATAGGCCAAAAAGGTATGAACATTCTCAGACAATAGGGGTGTTTTGGGAATGATATTGTCACTGACCTAAAATTTTGTGAAACATTTGTGTTGGGTAAATAGTATAGGATGAGTTTCCCAAAAGGAACTCATCAGGCCATTAGGTGTTTAGAATACCTACATGCAGATTTGTGGGGTTTTGAGGGTGTTAGGTCTCATGGTGGGAACTCAGACTTCCTGTCCATTGTAGATGACTTCAGTAGGGAGGTTTGGATGTATCTCCTAAGGTCTAAGGATGAAGCCTTTACCAAGTTTAAAGGTTGGAAAATTTTGGTGGAAAACCAAAGTGAAAATAGAGTTAAGGCCATTAGGACTGACAATGGTTTAGAGTTTTGTAACTTTGAATTTGATACCTACTATAGTGACCCAGGGATCCTAAGGCATAGGACAGTTAGGAGAACCCCTCAACAGAATGGGGTTGTGGAGAGAATGAATAAAACATTGTTGGAAAAGGTTAGGTGTCTCCTATTCACCTCGAGGCTGCCTAAAACCTTTTGGGGAGAAGCCCTAACTACTGCTGTTTACCTTATAAAAAGGAGCCCCTTTAGTGCTATAGAATTCCAGTGTCCTGAAGAGAGATGGTCTGGTAGGAAGCCTAGTCTCAACCACCTAAGGGTATTTGGGTGTGTTACCTATGCACACACAAATGATGGGAAGTTAGACCCAATGTCTCTTAGATGTGTGTTTCTAGGATACCAAGAAGGGACAAAAGGGTATAAGCTTTGGGAGAGAGAGGCTTTAGGGGTAATAGTCATAATTAGTAAGGATGTGGTCTTCAATGAATGTGTTTTCCTTGTAAATCTTCTAACTCCACTACAGGTACCTCTAATAGTGAGACTGAAGATTTGAACCAAACTGATACCACCCAAATTTAGGTGGAGCCAACAATGTACTAAACTGACCTGACCAATTCTGATGATGAAATTGGACTTGCAGAGCTGCCACAACCTGCAGGTATCACTCAAGGCATTGAAGATGAAGAAATAGAGCCTGAATGAGGGCCTTAACAAGCTGATCTTGCTCAATATCAGCTTGCAAGGGATAGGATCAGGCGTGAAATCAGACTCCCCATAAGATACAGCTATGTAGACCTGATTTACATGACATTAGTGGCTAGGGTTGAAATCCAAAGAGTTGAACCAACCACCTATGAAGAAGCTATAAGCTCAAAGGATAGCAAGCAATGGTTGGCTGCCATGAGTGAAGAAATGCACTCCTTAAAGGTAAATAGAACCTGGTCATTGGTTCAGAAACCTAAAGATCAAAAGTGTGTAGATTGTAGATGGTTATTCAAGCTAAAGGAAGAGATAAATCAGTTTGACCCTCCAAGATACAAGGCCAGGTTAGTTGCAAAGGGCTACACACAAAAAGAATGTATTGATTTTAATGAGATATTTTCTCCTATAGTTAAATTTAAAATAATTAGGTTAATGTTGTCTATAGTTGCTCACTATGATTTAGAACTAGAACAATTAGACGTTAAGACTGCATTTTTACATGATGAGTTAGAAGAAACTATATACATGAGTCAGCCTATTGGTTTTATAGATAAAAATCTGCCTGAACATATGTGCTTGCTGCATAAATCCCTATATGGTCTTAAACAGTCCCCTAAGCAATGGTATAAACGATTTGACTCTTTTATCGTTGGGATTGGGTTTACTAGGAGTAAATATGACAATTGCTTTTATTTTGCACTTACTAATGACATGCCTATATATTTGCTTTTGTATGTTGATGACATGTTGTTAATATGTAAGTCTAAGTTCAAAATAAATGATTTAAAGGTAAAGTTGAGAGCCGAATTTGATATGAAGGACTTAGGATGTGCAAAGAGGATTCTAGGAATGGTGATAAAGAGAAATAGGAAATTAAATAAGTTGAAAATTCACCAAATCCCATATTTACATAAACTTACATCCAAGTTTGGAATGACTAACTCTAGAGTTGTTTCTATACTTTTAGCAAGTCACTTTGTACTCAGCAAAGTGCAATGTCCTAAAACATATTCTGAACTGATAAAAATGGAAAACATTCCCTACGCTAATGCAATAGGCTCAACAATATATGCTATGATTAGTACAAGACCAGACCTAGCATTTGCTATTTCTTTACTAAGTAGATACATGTCTAATCCTGGAATTGAGCATTGGGTTGCTTTGAAATGGCTCTTAAGATACATAAACAATTTTGTGCATGTTGGTTTGGATTATTGCAAAAGAAATACTGTACTTGATCTGGTTGGGTATGTAGATTCTGATTTTGCAGGTGCAGAGATACTAGAAAATCTACTATAGCATATTATTTTACTCTTGGTGGGAATTGTGTGAGCTGGAAGTCACAGTTACAGCCCCTGGTTGCTTTATCCACAACCGAGGCTGAATATGTGGCTGTAATTGATGCGTTTAGGGAAGCAATTTGGTTGCAAGGTATTCTGAAAGAGGCTAACCTATTGGAAGAGCTTGTGAGTGTATATTCTGAAAGTCAAAGCGCCATCCACCTATGTAAAAATCCAGTGTATCACGAGAGAACTAAACACGTGGATGTGAGGTTCCATTTTGTGAGAGATCTAATCTCAAAAGGCCAATTGAACCTGCGAAAGATCCCAACCGAGGTGAATCCAGCTGACATAGGGACTAAGGTGGTAACTGCCACTAAGTTCAAGCATTGCTTGGACTTACTTCACATCAAATAAGGTAATGGAGCTAAGAAGGAACATTGAAGATGCTTGCTGCACTAATGGGTATTGTTCAGAAATGGTGCGTTGGCTTCAAAGTGGAGATTGTTAAAGTGTAAAGCCATAAACGATGCCGCATGACTTAATCCCATGCGCTGCCATTTTGAGTACTATCCCTTTTTGTTTTAATCCTGACTGTCTCTTTGTGTGAAGATCCAATGGCTGCCATCCTCTCATTTAGTCAACATATAAAAGTAGCCAATTCTTCATTGCGTAAGCAGTTTTTTGGCTTTCTTCTTCGTGTATTTTTGCTCTATGCTGTGTTCTTTTATTTAGCACTATTTGTGTAATTCTTAGGCGATTTCTTGATGAATCGTGTAGAAAATGTTGTGTTTTCTTTTTGGTTAAGAGGAGTGGGTTAGATTTTTCTTGGCATTTGTAAAGATTACTGTGAATAGGTGTTTGTAATACGGGTGTTTGTAATACTGATTGAGAGTGATTTGAGAGTTCTTGAGAGCTTGTAATCTGTAAGAACTTTCTTGATACATAGTGCAGTGGGCCTCAGTGTTCTGGAGCTCAACGTGGACGTAATTTGTTCGAATCTTGAACAAGTGAACCACGGTAATTGTTTGTGTCTTTGATTCTTCTTTGATCTTGTGTGTGTGATTGAATTGACAATAGTTTTAGAGTGTGATTTGGTCCGAAATCGCGACAGTTATCCTAAAGATAAATTGTTAATAGATATCAAATACCTAGTGTTCTCACATTCTCTCATAACCTTGAATTAGTTTTCACTTCTATATATATATATTTTTTAATAGGATTCGTATTTCAATTCCTATTAGGACTCATAAATTATATTCTTATTTATAATTGTATTTTTTACCAAATAGTTTTTTTTTTAAAGATAAATAAACAAATAGGAAAGCAAGTCAGAATATCCCAACATAAATAACCCATTATCTTTTATATCATATACCATTAATCAAACATTTTATTTTTGACCGTGAATGTCAAGTTTAGTGTGTTGTATAATATCATATAGGACCAAATATAATTAGTTCTTTGTTGTATATATATATAGACTTCAATTAAAATTTTAAATATGCTTATTAAAAATTTTATTGGAAAAAAGTTATTAAAAGATAATTTATTAGAAATTAGATTAATATTCACATAAAATATTAAACTTTTTCTTAATTTTAAAATTTAAATAATAATTATTTAAATATTTTTAAACTACATTTTAAGTTATTAGTTAACTAAAATGATTAAATTAAATAGTACCATGATTATGTATTGAGCACTTGTAGATTACATTAGTTAATGCAATCTAAAGTTTATACCAAATAAGATTGTATTATTCAATATTATATTATATAACGTGTCATAAATTTAATGCTACCCGTACCCTTTTTTATTTTAGAAATAGTGACAATACCCCTTATCATAAACTCGCTTTTTAGTACCATGTTAGTAGAATGTCTAATTTATTCTTAGTAGCATCAAGAATTAATGTATAAGATTTTTTTTTTTTTTAAATTCTGAATAATTTGATATGAAATTTTGTAATAAAAAAATTTAAAACTAAAACAAAAAGTAAATCGGGGCAAGGCCTTGCGATTGTAATTTAGGCTAACAAAAACCATTAAATGGAAATTGCCCGCAATAAATAAAAAAGTTAGGCCCCCCTCTTTCGCGTAAGCGCAAAGACAATTCGGCCAGTGACAAACCAACAAACCCGAGTTTTCTAGATTTCGCCACCTGTCACAAGAAACACTAATCACGTACGCTTATATTAACAAAATGACTGAATCACCCCTCATGCTGCAGCTTCCGGGTTCTCACCTTCTCTGAAGTGACAGCTACGCCTCTGAGCCATAACTAAATTTCAATTATGGTACAACAGTGAGATCTTTTTTCGTTTTACTTTGTTAATTGTTTATTTGATGAATTAATTTATGGTTTATCGTTGTAGATTTGTCCCTTTCTGTCTCTTAAAGTTAATTGTCTGGCGAAGAGAGAGAAAATCCCTTTCTCATGTTTGTTTCTAGGGAATAACATCACAACAAGGAATTGACGAAAGATAATTCTTAACCTACACATCAAGCGCACGTTAGTGGAGAGTTCTCCTGTCCAGCCCTATATATGAGCGGTTTCGACGGTATTTCTTGAACTTTAGTTTTTCTCAGCGTCAGTGTCACTGCAAAATTCCTAATCTTTATTGTTTCAGATCCTTTTGAGCTCTTTGGATAATCGAAACATAATCAAGGTGATTAAATTTAGATTATTTCATATTTATTTTTGTTTGTTGTATGTTTGGTCTAGTGAAAGGATCATTGGTGATTGATTTTTGCTTAATAAGTTGTTAGTGCTTCATTTCTATTGAGAATTTACGTTGTTTTGTTAGAATTGGGAGTTCGTGGGAGTGTGATCCGGTTCAAAAGGTACTAAGTTTAGTTGTGCTCGAGATTTAGTTTGGTTTGGAGAACCCCTGTTTTTTTCTTCAATCTGTTTGGCTGCCTGGAGAAATCGGAGGAAAAAGAAGAAATCTGAATGTTACGTTATTATTTGAATTCTTTCTTTAGTTTTGAAAATAATGCGTAATTAGGTGCAACTATAATAGAGTTTAATTAGTTTCTGATTGTGGAGTCCTTACCAGCTTCTTAGGTAATCAATTGTTGAATGTTAACCTAAATTGGACGAAGAACTTATTAGGCTTTTACAGTCTTTGTAATGTGATGAAAATATGTAACTGTACTCTTTACCCGATCACTGAGAAATTGAGTGGAAAGAAACAACTTTAGTTTTTTTTTGGTAAGTAAGAAACAACTATGGTTCATTTGCTTTATATGAGGTTTCTATAAATGGAGAATTTCAGGCTTTCAGCAAAAGTAAATGGAGAATAACTTTAAACTCGTGGTGCATAAACAGATCATAACATGATAAAAAATATGGAAAACAATAATATTAAAGATTTGGTAATTTATAATATTTTCAGTTTAGACTGGCTGATCTGAGATACTGTTAAATTTTGGCAATTAACCCTATTTATTACAACTGGAAATGATAAATTGATGTAACCTGTATAGTAAATGCCAATTGTTTATGAATGTGATGTGGCAGTGAAGTCGTAGAACTCTCCAAATTTGCTGATTTGAAGTGAAAGCTGGCTGCAGCTTGGCATGTGGGGGCGACAGCGTGAATCATACTCAATGTATAAGCGAATGCCATCAAGAGATAATACAAGCGTTGTAGATGTAGAAGACAACTCAGGTAACTACTAACTCTGTCCATTGACTGTTTGAAGTTGTATTTCATTAATTCTTATTGACAACTCACCCCTGGTTTTAATATCCCTGACTCAGCGATTGAGTTCAGATGCATCAGTTGTGGACTGCTTCTGTCTCCTTGTATATTAATTGCAATATGTTCTATTGATCAAGGGAAATGAAAGAAAAACCCATAAATTCAAAGTCAAAATTGGTTAAGGAAATGTATTTGTTGTCTTATTATAAGGTCATAAATAAGTAGGGATTGTTCAAGTAGATAGTCTATGCATTATTTCAATCATATGAAGGTACCAAGCATTTTGAGATGATAATGGGACTCATTTTTTATATTTCATTAGCTCATTTACTGGAGAGCATGGATCTGGAAACTACAAATCCTTCGTGGAGGCTGTCTTTCCCCTATGTGCTAGTGGCAACCTTATCTTCATTTTTATTTGGCTATCATCTTGGGTTTGTGTGCTATCTTAAACTTAGTCCTTTTGTTGTTTCTCTTAATTTTCTTTTTCTTCATGTTTCTATTAGAAGTTTATGGATCAACAAATTGATGTTTATCTTTTGTATTTTGTTTTAATAAACAGAGTGGTTAATGAACCACTTGAAAGCATCTCTCTTGATCTTGGTTTTAGTGGGAATACCTTAGCAGAAGGTGAGAGTTCTGGATGTCTTTTTTTGCTTTATTTCAACCACACACCCCCTTCCCTCTTCCCCCCCCCCCCCCCCAAAACAAAAAAAACCAATCTTTTTTTTTTTTTTTTTTTTTTTTGTTAAGGGATCTGTTAATATAGTGGTGATATTTTAAATGTTGGCTATTAATCTTATATCATGTTATGCCAAATATAGGTTTGGTAGTAAGTACTTGTCTGGCTGGTGCGCTTGTCGGATGCTTATTTAGTGGTTGGATTGCTGATGAATTTGGCCGTCGTAGGGCTTTTCAGCTTTGTGCTTTGCCTATGATCATTGGTGCTGCCGTAAGGTGATGCTTTTGCACCATAAAGCAATGGCTTGATGCGTAACCGGCTCCTTACTCTGTACTTCACTTTTTTTTTCTTTCTAAATCTGTTCTAATCAGAGTTTTATCTCCAATATTTGTTTATGTTTCTTTAAAATTATGAAACTTCATCTAATTTTTTCTATAATTTTCAAATATGAAATAGCTAAACTAGACTTTAATCGTATTTTGGTTTTTTGTTACCAGATAATAGTTCTAGTCTTGGATTTATATTCAATGCTTAAAGGTCACATGTGAATTTGTTTAGTCTTAAGTAAAAATTATCATACAGTCTCTTTCTTATTGCATAGTTCATTTATATTTTTCTTGTGTGTATTTTATTTCGGTAGAATAATAAAGTTTATTATTATCTGATGCACAATCCCCCCTTCCCTTTCTTTCTATTATTAAATTCTTATATTGTGTGGATATCGACCTGAAAGTTAAGATTTGTATTTTCAGTGCAATAACTGGCAATCTTATGGGTATGCTTTTGGGAAGGTTCTTGGTTGGAATAGGAATGGGTATTGGACCCCCTGTGGCATCTCTTTATGTGACAGAGGTATATAATTTCTAAATCATATGCGATTTGATTATGCACATCTTTCTTGATCATGAACACAGGAATTATTTCTCTTGTATTCATTTTGCCACATCTACTCGAGCAGGTTTCTCCTTCACATGTGAGGGGCACTTATGGAGGATTCATCCAGATTGCAACATGTCTTGGACTTATGGCAGCTCTGTTTATTGGAATCCCTGTCAAAGAAATATCCGGCTGGTAAGAAATGTGCACTGTACCACTCAGCATCCTTGGTATGAATATAGCCTTTCTGACATACATTTTCTTTTTGTGGGTATTCGATTAGGTGGCGCATTTGTTTTTGGATAGCTACAATTCCTGCAGGAATACTTGCCCTTGCCATTGTCTTTTGTCCAGAGAGTCCACATTGGCTGCATAAGGTTTGCTCTGATTCGCAAAGTTTTTCTTTTGCAACGTAATTCTCCTATGTGTTCTAAATGCCATTAGACATGTCATAGTTATATTATTGTTATGTAAAAAAAATTGATAGTGGCTGTGGCATGACCAAAATGAATTAATTGTTATCACTAAAAAATTACATTTTGTGCTCTTACTTCCCTCGTGATTTTTTTTGGCATTGTGTTTTAACATTGTGATCTTACGCTCTGCTGGCAATTGATTTTTGGAGATACCATTGGTGTTTAGCACAAATATACTAGTTTTGCTGTAGTCCTTTTACAGTATCTTTATTTTCTTTTTGGGCTTTACCATGACGAGAAAGTTTGTTTCTGAATTTGCCAATTATTCCTGCTTCCTATAGCAAAAGACTATTCCCCCAAAAGACATAAGCTTATCTCTAATTGTTGCTTATGTTAAGATGCAAATGCTTACACTTTCTCATTGGTAAAACTAGCAAGGAAGAAGTGCTGAAGCCGAAATGGAATTCGATAGGCTTTTAGGTGGAGCACATGTCAAATATTCTATGGCAGAGTTGTCCAAGTCAGACAGAGGGGATGACACAGAAACTGTGAAGCTTGAAGAATTGCTTCATGGTCGCCATTTTAGAGGTAGATATGATACTTTCTGGTGTACACTTATGAGCATCTAATGCTTCTATCCTCTCTTATTCAGCTTCTACAGTTGCAGTTGTCACGCTGCTGTCACCATTACTTTCTCTTCTTCTTTCCTTTTTCCCTTTTAGGCTTTGTTATTCACATGTTCCTTTTGCAGTTGTTTTTATTGGATCAACCCTATTTGCTTTACAACAGCTATCTGGTATAAATGCTATATTTTATTTCTCTTCATCTGTATTTAAAAGTGCGGGAGTATCGTCCAAACTTGCAAATGTCTTCATTGGAATTGCAAATCTATCAGGTATAGGTTTTTTCTTTAATAGGTTCTTTGCGTACTTGTATCATTGCAATTTCAATTGATGGATGATTTTATTTGTCTTCAGGATCTGTTGTTGCAATGACATTGATGGATAAACTAGGAAGGAAAGTGCTCCTTCAGTGGAGCTTCTTTGGCATGGTAAAATGTGATTGCATTTCATTTCTTCTTTCACAGAAAGCCATTTCATTTATGCTTAATATTATGATTAAGATAACCGAGTTGATGTAAAATTCATTAGAGAATCTGGATACTGGATCTGTTTGGCACATAATTACATTTTCATTTACTTTAGGGAGGATTTACATGCTTTCATGGTGCATTGTGAATGTGCTTTCTACTGACAGAAGGGGAGCTCTGTAGTGGTTTATACTATTTATTGCAACCATGTGTGGGATGAGAGAAAGATAGTTCAATCTTCCAGAAGTTACAATCTTTTGGAGCAGGATGGCAATATAGTTTATTGATTTCTTGTTATGCATAATTATATTCATTGATACCACCATGGTGGCTACTGTTGTGCATGGTTCAGCTGATATCTCTTTTCCCGAGTTTTATATGAATGAGTTAATGGAGTCTATCATTTAATAATTCCATCTCTTACATAATGCGTTGAATCTACTCAGGCAGCATCAATGGGTCTTCAAGTCTCTGCTTCAAGTTCTTACATGCCAGAATCTGGAGCTTTATACCTTTCTGTTGGTGGCATGCTATTGTGAGTACTATATTATTAATAAGTGAATCTTTGATATGAACTTCGTGAGCTTATACATGCATCTAATAAGCATACTGTACGCAGAACTGGGCCATTTTGCTTTCATTTCTGCCTGATACTTTGTGTTTGTATAGCTGCTATTTAATATAACTGCTGTAGTTGTTTCCAGCTACCACTGAAAGAATATCTTTAAGGCTGTAAGAAGAAGATAATTTCTATATGTTGCATGAAATTGGTGAATGATGAGGTGTCATACAAATAAAAATTCTTGAAAGTTTGTGAAAGCCAAGGTTTTGAAATCTTGCTAGCCAATAGGAATGTCCTTGGAGACTTAACTCTTAACTTGAGAGTAGCCTGCAAGATTGGCCGCAATTGCAATGTGTTGATTAAATTTCTTAGAGATGCTGAATATATGAAATATTTGGATTGTCATTATTTTCTGGTCACCTCAGCGTAAATGTTGAATAAATTTTTAGCAATTAATCAGCCATGCCTGATTCTCTGTGACATCTTGCATGGATTAGATGGTTACATGACTGATGGAAACTGACAAAACTTTGTGGAATCTGGATATTATATGGACATTTAAGTGTGAACTTTTTGCAGGTTTGTCTTAACATTTGCTCTGGGAGCTGGTCCAGTTCCAGGTCTTCTCCTTCCAGAAATCTTCCCCAGTCGAATTAGGGCGAAGGCTATGGCAGTGTGTATGTCAGTGCACTGGGTAATTTTCTGTCACATATCTTTGTTTTTTGCCATTTTTTATTTGTATGTCGCTTTGAATGTTTGAGTTAAAGTTAGAACCTGTCTTTGGGTAGTTCTAGCTATTAATAAAGTCAAATGAAGTAAGATGGATTGATTTATTCATTGTCTATCTCCATTCTTTAGGTGATAAATTTCTTTGTGGGCTTGCTATTCTTGCAACTACTGGAGCAACTTGGGTCACAGCTCTTGTACTCTATGTTTGCAACCTTTTGCTTGATGGCTGTGGTGTTTGTGAAAAGAAATGTTGTGGAAACAAAAGGAAAATCACTCCAAGAAATCGAGATATCACTTCTTCCACAAGAATAGTGAAGGCCTTTCTTGCTTGAAAGAAACAGACTACAGTTGAAAAGTAATAAGCAATTTCTTTTCATTTGATGGAAGCTAAACATAAGACGGTAGACACGAAGTTGAAGTGGCCGATATTCTGGTTAAATAATGTGTAAGATCAAGTGTCATCAGGCAAGTGAAGTACTTCATATGATATGAATTTTAGTGGTGTGAGATTTGGCTTATTCCAGTCGTTAGGGTTTAGGTCAGTTAGGCATCATATATAGAGCTTTGATATGTAATAATATGTATTATGTAGTCTCAAATATGTAACCCCTTTAAAATCAATATATGGTGTCTGAAAAGTTCGGGAGATTTGTGTTTGAGGATGGACGTTCGGCTATATGATAACAGTAAGTTACAAAATTTACAATGTTACCCAGCTGGTTGCACTAGAAGTCTAGAATAGACACTTAAATCAATACTTGACTTTTGGGCCAATTTCCTCTTATCACTTGAGAGATTGTATTACATTGCAGAGGACTAGTCATAAAGCGGAAAGTAGTGGACACCATAAGTGCATTGTTTTACGAAGGGAAAACAATATTTTTTCAGAGATAGGGATAAAGAACCCATCCTCCATAGGAATTGTAATCCCTTCATCATCTCCCATTCCGATCCCCCAAATATTAAATTTGACATAGCGGTTACTGAATTTTTATAATTGTTATTCAAAACTTAGATGTGTTATTTTGTGTTTGAATTGAAGTTTACATAGACTGGGAATGAATATGTAGTTTTTAAACTTTTAATCTAATCATTGAATACATTTAGGATATGAGACATTTTCTAGTTGTGCTAATTGGTAATATATAATTAGTAAATGTTAGGATATTGAATATAAATCATCTCTTTTTCTTTTAAACTTCTCAATAACCTAGTACGGTATCCGGTATATGTTATGTGGGGATCCCTAATTCCCTTACCCGTCCCGTTATAGTGAAATTTGGAAATTTGGATATGAGACAAGGATGAGGATGACCATCCCTTGAAGGACATCATCACCATCAAATATGTCGACCAATTAGAATATGTGCATTATTTATTCAGTAAATCAGCTCAAAATCTAATTCTCAAGATTCCCAAAAGAATGGATCCCAGTTAATATTTCAATTGAACAAACAATGACCTTACTAATTATTTCAAGGACAGTTCTAAATTCATATACAATCTATATATCCAGTGACTGGCCACCATGTAATAGTGTTATCATAGATAATGATCAAGGTTGATAAAACAGCTATCTTCAGGTTAAAGTTCACGTTTTTCCCTCATATTACGTTATTAAAAAGTTCAAGACTGACAATTTGAATGTCCCTGTAATTGATAACTAAGGTCATTGGCTCAATCACTATGAGGACAGTGGCATTATGAAAACGGTTCACAACTTATTAATCGTCTCTGGAACATAATGCACAAGAATACTTTGCCATCGTCACTTTCCAAATGCTATAATCTTAGCTCAGCCATATCCTTTGCTTTACCTCAAAATCATATCATAAAATAGCCTTTCAGTGTAGCAGGTGCCATAAAACATGTGAAACAACATATTATCATAATCCTCTGGTTTTACAAGGAATAAGCATGTTGTGCACTAGAAGTGTTACTTTAGCATAAGAAAATATAAGGGTCCTACTGGTATAAGACACTTTTATGCGAATAATTTATGGCTTTAAAATGGTTACTCAAACAAATAGACATATAATTTAACAATCCGAAGTACCTAAACACTTGTCTTGCTCAAGAGAATCGAATTGAAAAACCAGAATTGGTGGTTGTCACATTTAGCGGGCCAAATTCATCAAAGTCAGAATCTGAACCCATGTCGTCATACCATCCTCCAGGAGAATCCTCATCTTGGTTACCCTTTGTCAAAGGAACTCGCAACTCAGATGTTGGAACTGGAAGAGGCTCTTCATTGAAATACTTATCATGTAGCAATTCTACTGCAGAAGCTCTACTAGCTGGGTCATAACAAACAAGTTTTCTGACAAGAGCGATTTCATCTGTAGAGCGGTTGGGCAGGCAGGATTCCAGACCACTAGGATCTTCTACCTTACAAAATGAAATCGTTTGGTAATCGGGAAGTTTAACACAACCCGGCCAGACTTCTTCTGTTAAGTTGCCCAATACACTAATAATTCTGCTAAGCTGATCGATATCAGAAGTCCCAGGGAAAAGAGGCCGTAGAGTAAAAAGCTCTGCAAATACGCAACCTAATGACCATAGATCAACCTCTAATCCGTAGGCTGTGGATCCATAGAGCAGTTCAGGTGACCTGAACCAGCGAGTTCCAACACAGGATGTGAAAGCACCACGCTCATCATTCCCAGCCTCCTCTGCTTCGTAAGAATAAGAGCTCTTGAAAGGATCATCTTCTATGTCACTAGTAGTACATGTAGCAAAACAAGATGCATTTCCATCATCAACATTTGTTTCTTTATCAGTTTCATGCATAGAATGTTTAGCTTTGACCTCATCTAACTCCCTAAAAGAGTCTTCCTTACTCATACCCTCTGGCTCTTGATTAACATATCCTTTTTGGGATGCATTTTCATGACCAGCTTGAGGTGCTTGACAAATATTTTCCTGATCTGCAGTATCCGGTTCAAATGGTGGAGGATTGTCGTCAGCAGCAACCAATTCATGATCCAGGAGTATCCTTGCCTGGAAACAGAAGAAAACGGAAAAGTTCAATCCTCAGAAAAAAAAAAAAAAAAAGCAAGTACAACAATTTGCTGCAGTTACTTATAAACTTGCAAATGCCACCAACCACCTCCAGAAAGACTATAAGTTCATGAAAAGGATAGTTCTCTCATCATTATTAAGGTTCACTCACTCCTAACTATTGACAGCTGATAGCAAGCTCTACTAGCATTGTCATTATGTTAACCGTCTTAAGTTAATATATTTTCGCTGTTTTACAGACAAGAGATAGCTAATAATTTAAACACAAATTTGTGTAGAAAGGTCAGGTTCTCGTCATTAGGAAGTTAAACTAATTCTCAACTTACCCTCTTTTTCCATTATATCTGCACAACAAAAATTAGACCAATCCAACTATTAGTTTCAACTAAGAGATCAATGGTACCAATTATCAAAATCAACTTAATACATTGATGCTATCAATTTAACTAAATCAAACTTTTCATTTTTTGCAATGGGCGAAAACAAAATATAATTGATCAAACTATCAAAATAAATAAATAAATTACTAGCAATTGCTAACAGATCATTTGACCTAGCGAAATGCACTTCTTTTTTCAATTTGTTAAAGAGGCCAATGCGCTAAGTTATCTTCTAAAAATATTAACACAATGATTATTGAAGCATTAAAATCCTCTCTTTATAACTTCATCCATCCAATAATGACAAAATTCTAAGAAAAACATGGCTCAAAAAAATAAAATAAAAAGTACCTGGCCAAAATCAGCCAACTTGAGCACCCCATCATCTCCAACCAACAAGTTCCCAGGTTTCAAATCCCTATGCACGATCATATTCCTATGACACGCGTCAACTCCACACAAAATCTGAACCATCCATCTCTTAATCTCCCCCACGCTCAGTCCACTCTCTCTCTTGGCGTCCGAAATGACGGAGGCCAAATCTGACCGCAGGAACTCCAAGACCAACACGGCGTCCTCGTCCTCCCGCCAAAAGTACTCATGCAAAACCACCACGTTTGGGGACCCCTGGAGGATCTGTAAAGCCTCGATTTCGCGAAATGCCGATTGGTAGTCGTGCACCTCCTTGAGCGCCACTATGAGGTTGTCGGATAATCGACGGCCCTTGTACACGTCAGAGTAGGCGCCGGCTCCCACGCGCTCCAGGATTTGGTATTTGGCTATAATTTCAGGACGGGTGTGGATGCTCCAGCTCTTGGGCAATGGGTTATCCATCTAGGTGTTTGTTTTGTTTTTATTTTCTGGTGGAGACGAAAATGCTTAGTTTTTGTCAACTGTTATTCTTCTTTCTGCTTCTTTAGTATTTAGTAATGTTTCGGGCCAGTTTGGGAAGGAGACGATGTAAGGTCAGGGCTGAAGAGTATCTTCAATTTCTTTCGTATAATTAAAAAATATTTCATTAATTTTTAAATATAAAAATAAATTTTTTATTCAAATTTAATGACTCTTTAAATATTAAGGGAGAAAATATGTTTTTTTTCAAGAAATAAACAATGGAATACTTTTATTAAGAAATAAACTTAAGAAAATATGTTTTTTTTCAAGAAATAAAATGGAATACTTTTATTAAGAAATAAACTTACATATAAATTTTGAATAGAAATATTGTCAAAGGCATGATTCATAAGGGATAGGGGGAGCCTGAAGGGCTATCTATTGTTAATTTTGGCCCTAATATGTTTTTGTTTACTTTCGCGGATGAGGAGAAACCCAAGCAGATCCTTCAAGATAGTCCATGGAATGTTTTGGGAGCCCTCCTTAATCTACAATGTTGGGTCCTTGATGTCTCACTATATGAGATTGATTTTACCAAAGCTCTATTTTGGGTTCAAATTCATGGCTTATCGCTAGCTAAGTTAAGCACAAATAGTGTTGTAAAAATAGGCTATTGTACTGATGAGGTTCTTCATGTTGAAAATTCATTGGTTCAAGATAGACTGGTGCGCAGCTTTCTAAGGGTGAGAGTGTTGCTTGAAGTTACGAAACCGCTAGCAACTGGGGTTTGGGTGATCAGGAAAGAACTAGGTAACATATGAGTCTTCTTTAAGTATGAAAAACTTTAGAACTTTTGCTATAACTGTGGCAGGATAGGCCATAAACAGAAAAGTTGTAACGAAGCCAAAGCGATGTGCCCTTACGATACTACCAAGTCAAAGTTTGGTGCCTTCCTAGGAACATCACAAGTGAGATCCTTGATAGAAGAGGTTGAAGGAAGCAAGCAAAATCATGTTCATGAAGGAGGGAAGCAAAACGTTAGAGTTGAGGAAAGAGAAAATTACTTTGACAACAGTGGCATTAATTGTAATGTGACAAAAGCAGATAATCAAGGGGCTACATCACAAGCTCCAAGGACACCTAACCCAACCACCCTATTACAAAACCAAATCCGGAGGCAATTGGCTACGCCTAATTCATCACAAATCTAGAGAATGACGATAACTCATTCTCAAGTTCTGATGGGAGGCCAGAATCACAATGTGGGCAATGATTATGATGAGTTAAAGGAGAATGTTGGTATTAATTGTGGTAACATGTCATTGGACCTAAACAATGTGGGCTTCTCTAATCTTATGCAAATTGGACCGGATTGTGAGGGCTCTAGCTCTTCTAATAAGTCAGCTAAAGGAAGTCCAATGAAGAAGTTGGGTTTCAGTCAACACTTAAGTTCGGTCCAATTGGGAGATAGAAGGCCTGAAGTGAATTTTAGATTGCTAACTGATTATCACCAGAAGCCCAATTTTCTCTTGTAATACCATAAATGAAGTCAAGGACAAAATTTCCAAGGCCTTAAGCATCCTTTGTTGGGACATTCCTTCAAAATACTTAAGGATTCCCTCTTCTTGGGAAAAAACCAAAACACAAACTCTAAGTTGGATCATGGAGAGGGTTAAACAAAAAACCGAGGGCTGGAAAGAAAAACTCTTGTCATCAGTTGGTAAAGAAGTGCTGATTAGAGTTGTCTTGCAATCCATACCTAACTATGCTATGTCCATTCTTAAATTCCCTAAGCATTTTTGTGATAAATTATGCATGAGTGTGACTAACTTTTGGTGGAAAAAAAGCAAGGAGAGGAAAGGAATTCATTGGGTTGGACAGAAAAAGCTATCAAAGAGCAAGAAAGAAGGAAGGCTGGGATTTAGGGATTTTTACAAAATGAACCAGGCTCCATTGAGTAAACAAGCATGGAGCATTCTATTGAATCCTGATATTTTATGCGTGTGAATCTTGAAAGCCATATATTTCTCTCAAAAAAACTTTTGGGAGGCAACATGCAAAAAGAATAGTTCTTGGGGTTGGAAGAATTTGTTGTTTGGCAGAAGCCTTCTCAAGGAGAAAGCAATTTGGAAGGTGAATAATGGCAATTCTGTTCGAATTATGGATGACAATTGGATGCCACCAAGAATGCAAGACATTAAGCCCATTGTACAAGCAGATCAGAAAGTGAAGGAGCTGTTTTCCTCGACTGGTAGATCTTGGGATCATCATAAATTAGTTGAAGTCTATGGGGCTAGAAATGCAAAAAAGGTGGCAACTATTCCGGTAAGTTAGAACTCTGATCCTGACCAAATTGTTTAGCCTCACAAGTCTAATGGAATCTATGATGTGAAGACAAGTTACCACCAGTCCAGGGAGGAGGCTTTTCCTAGCAAAATAACAATACATCAACATCCTAGGTGGTTGACAAATGATTGTGGAAGCAGATCTGGGGCTTACAAACATTGCCAAAAATAAAAGTGTTTACATGGCAGCTTTGTAGTAATGCAATTTCGACTAAAGAAAATTTATTTAAGAAGAAAATAACTTCAAACTCTTTGTGCCCAATATGCCATGATGCTTTAGAATCTATGGAACATCTTATTTTGGGATGCGCTTGGACTCATCCGGTCTGGTTTGCCATTGATTTCCAATGGGACCCTAGAAACCTACAGGTTATCCAATTAGAAGACTGGTTGTTGGAAAAATTCTTGATGTTGTCTTCATCTTTGGAAAAACCAGAAAGTGCTAAAGCCTTTATCGCCAATCTTTGTTGGGTAGTTTGGAAGATGCAAAATGAAGTGGTGTTTCGGGGAGCAAAAATTAACCCAATGCAGGCAATTCAGTAAGTTAAAATGCTAAATAAGGAAGTCGAATCCTGCAAACCTTTCGTGAACATGATTAAGCACTCAACCTCCACCTCAGTCTGTAATAATTGGAGAGCTCTTCACAAGCGGCCGCCATCATCCCCCCCCCCCCCCCCCCCCCCCCCCCCTTGATGGTTTAAAATCAACTGTGATGCAGCTTTTATAAAGCACTCTCATAATGGAGCGATGGGAATTGTAATAATGGACGACAAAGGTATGTTATTAACGGGGCAAGCAAAAAAAAATTTCGCTATAACCCCCTTGTAGCAAAGGCTCTAGCTGTTAGGGAAGCTATAGTTTTGCAACCAATTGGGTTTGAGTAGGGCCTTACTGGAAACAAACTGTTTAGTCTTATTATGGCCTGCAGGAAAGAAAAGGTTTTTTGGGAGATTGATGGTATTGTGAGAGATATACACACCTTGCCCACTGTTGTTCCTCAGTTGAGTTTTAGTAGACTCGTAGAGAAGCTAATATGTTAGCGCATGAGGTTGCAAGGTTGACAGCGTCGGATTCTCTGCCTTTGATTGGTTATCTTCTTGCCCTACGAGTATATTAAGGATTGTGTATTCAGGATAAGCCATGTTAACATCCAATTGGATTAGTTTGCTTGTCTTCTAGTCTATGACTGTTATATGTATGCCTTGTGTTTTTGAGGAATGGATACTCATTCCGACAAAAAAAAAAGGTTGTATTTTTTTATCCTTTCTATATCATTTCTAGACTTTGAAACAAAAAAAAAAAAAAAAAAGAAACCGAAAACCGATTTTTTTTTAGTAATACTACACATACAATATTATGTATCAAAATATGATTGATTGATTTTAAATTAAAATTAAACTTTCACCCAATCATCTTTTGCCACATAATGTTGTATGAGAATGTTATATATATATATAAGTAGTATTATTCTTTTTTTGCCCCAATTGGCAAATCCTAAATTCTTATTGGAAATGTAGAATTACAAAATAGCCCCTATTTTTGGCTGAAATTTTTTAGTCCCAATACTTACCGATTCCAACCCATGTACCTGGATCTTGAATACCGGTTCTAGTTCTTAGGTCGGTTCCGGTTCCTTAAACTAGTGGAACCAGTACTAGGACCGCATAGTTCCAGTTCCACACAATTGGGAACTGGAACCCAAGTTACTCGTGAGTCTCGATTCTACCCGAAATTCTTGCATACCCCTAATCAAAGGCTTATAATAATTATTTAAGTAATTCTTCACTCATTACTAACAATATCACAATGGAAATATACAAATGTTCCTCCATCCCAACTTTATTTGTCTATTAAACTTCATCATAACATTCTTTATCAATTAAAAATTAACTTTATTTATTGTTTATAAATAGCTTCATTTAACAACTTCATGTATTTATATATAAAATTCATCAAAAATAAAAAATTATAACATAAAGTTTGGCAAGTACTGGAAGAGGGTTGACACCCTTTTCATCAAACATCTTGAGTTTGCAGTTGAATTCCCTTAAATTACATTTTACAGATATTAGAAGAATCACATTTTATGTTTTTGGTTCATACAATTATACTTATGCGGTTTTATCATCCCCTTTTCTTAGATTGGGCACCATTCCATTACAGTTAATTTTGATCATTAACATGCCCTAATTGGTCTTGTCGTGTATTGTCAGCGAAGTTGGAGAGCGGGGCCTTTCATTATCAAAATCATCCATGAAACATGATAGCTTTGGGCCCCCTTGCTATACCCATTTGGTCCATTTCTGATGTAAAGATTACCAAGATGACTTGACACTGCATGCAAAGCTACAAAAGCTGGGGTAGATTAAAGATTCAAAGACTGTAAAGAAGCAAGAAGTTGACCCAGTTTCAGGGTTTCAGCACGAGCAGGAAACTGCTACAATGAATCCTGATAAAGGAAAAACTAAAGTGAAGTACAGAACTTGGCCATTCTCATTTATGGATCAAACCCTGCCACAATGCATCTTTCAAAAATAGATTTGGGATTTGAGACAGCAAATATTGCACATTCTTGTATTAAAGATGTTGGTGAAAACAATTCACCAGCTCAGAATTATACTTAAAATGTCAGAAAGTATCTCTGTGGTCCAGTTACCAAACAACTTAGGCACAATTACTTCCCTGACTCTCGTTGGTTTTCTTTACATGCATGCACGAACTTACCTGTAACGCAACTTGCTCAGAAAACTGAATTTTCATGCATTTCTGGCAGCAGACAAAAAGATAACTGTGAATATGCAGCTAGCTAGCTCTACAGTAGACAGATTAGAGTCTTGTATGAGAGGATAATATAAACATATATAATGATTCTTTCCTTTTAGATAAAGCAGATTAATTTAAAATAATACATCAGCTTAAACCCCAAACCCACAAGATCAATTACTTGGTAACAGTACACAAGAGAATGAACAATTCCCTCCACTCTTCTCCAAGTCAGTTTATAAGATTAAAGTAAACTATTTCTTAGTTCAAACTATATCACTGCACCTACACTTCACACAAAAGTAGATAATTAGGAATCAGCACTTGCTGAATGCCCCAACACATCTGCAAAACACCAATCCTTGTCAAAAGTGCTTCATTACTATCCATCCGGCTATCACCGTTGCCTAAGCAGCACAACCTCCACACACAATACTCCTGCTGTCCAAAAAAAATCAACATTAATGCACATGTTAGTAGAGAATCTCAGGAGGAATTTTCTTCAATATATGGAAAATACATGAAAGGAAGAACAAACCCACACACAACCTTCACATTTTGGTTTGCATGTTCAAGCCTATGCAAATATATGTTAAATTCAACCAGCTGATCTAATACTGACAAGGTTAATGTTAGATATCACAGTTAATAGTGATGATGTCATAGGGCCCAGCTCCTATCAGGGAGCTGTAACCATCAGTCTGCAATGCATTAGTGGCAAAACTATGATCAAGGTCTTTACTCGGTGCGCTCTGATTTGATTCTTTCATTAATCAATGCTTTACAGCCATATATGGGAGCTTCGACTCCTTTTGGAGCTGAATTTTTTACTCTCATCGGTTTGTCACTTCATTCTCCTTCTAAATGAGCCGCAGATATGTGGCAGTACATTTAAACAACAGAAAGACACTGAGGAGAAAAAGGTGAAGTGCTTACGCAATTGAGCAGCCAGATCGTCTGTGCCTTTTCTTCCTTGACACCTCCTTCCTCCTTGGAGGTTGCAGAACAACCTTGATTGCAGTGTCAAAAACAGCTTTGACATTCTAAAAGTTAAGAGACAAAAACAGAAGCAGTGTGAATAATAATAAATAAAAAAAAAAAAAACCACATACAAGATGAGACTAAAGTATCCTCAAATAATCAAACTTTCAGTTTACCTGCTGAGTCTTAGAGCTGCACTCAATATATGCTGCAGCGCCAATCTGTTTCCTAAGCTCCTCTCCCTGTGTATTAGAAGAAGCTCATTGAACTAATTTCTTGCAATATAAACCAAATATAATATCCAAAAATCAAATTTAAAGATGAGGTTAGAGAAACAATACATGCCTGAGAAGATGTTATGATGTTAGATCCCATATGATCAGCTAGATATCCTCTGTCGTCACGAAGATCTGTCATAGCAAAAAAAAAAAAAAAAATGTGTACTTGATGTAATCATAATATCTCTCTGCGTGGGAATCCTATGTGCATTGGCATGTTTCAAACTAATTTGACAAGTTCTGTTGCTTACCTAACTTCGTTCCAACAAGAACAATTGGAACATTGGGTGCAAATCGCCGAAGCTCAGGCATCCACTGATGAAAATATCAAAGGGATAGTATCAATAACCAATGCATGAAATTTTATAAAGGTTGCTTCTAAAAACAGCTCTCTACTTAATGAAAATGACTCAAATTGCCAAACTTCAACCGTAGAAACTACAAATTCATGCAAGTATATATGCAAGAAAAGTGTAAAGTAAACAAACATACAGGCTTTAATTAAAATAAATACGACCAACTTTTTTCAAACACGATTTACAAATAACGTTAACAAAAGAGAACATAAAAGGCAGAACAGGAAATTATAAAGGGAAAAAGGCATTAAAATTGGAACTATTACCTTCTTAAGAACATTTTCATAGCTTGCCCTACTAATTAAAGAGAAAGCAAGCACAAATATGTCAGCACCTCTGTAACTCAGAGGCCTCAACCTGCTGTAATCTTCCTGGCCTATAATTAATAAAAAAAATAAGGATAATAGTCAGACAAGAAGTACTAACCAAACCCCAAACTTTAAATTACAAATTTTGAAGCATATTATTATTCCAAGAAAACCCAGATACCTGCAGTATCCCATAGCCCTAAATTAACAATGCTCCCATCAACAGCCACATTGGCGCTGAAATTATCAAACACTGTGGGAATATAATCCTGGAAAAAACAAAGCACAACAACATGAGACAGAGAGAAAGATCCTAAGGTTAGTGCACATTAAAAGCTAAAACAGAAGCTCACCAACTCTAAACCAAAAGCAGTATGAGCATTTACAATATATCTTCATAAATGGAACTGATACAAGAAAATTAATGAAAAAGGAAGGGTTTTGACAGATAGGTCATGAAAATCTTACAGTAGGGAACTTGTTACTGGTGTAACAAATGAGCATACAGGTCTTGCCAACAGCTCCATCTCCAACTGTAACACATTTAATGAACTTTGATGCACTCATCCTCTTAAACACAACAACGACAATAACAACAACTAGAAAGCTCTTTAGCTACAGCACCCTAGTAGTATTATTAACAACTCAAAAAAGTTGAGTTAAAGAAAACAAAGACGTTTCTAACAAAAAAGTTGAACTCAAAGAAGAAGAAAGAAAGAAAGAAAGACACAGAGCAGTATCTATATGTCTGTGTCAACACATAAGTTGGAGAGTTAAAAGATGATATAAAAATGAATAAATTACCCACCCTGTCGTAGTTTCAAGAAAACATTAAAATTAAAAAAAAAAAAAAAATTAACAATTAAGACACAGAGAGAGAGAGAGAAGAGAAGTTTTGTCTGCAGTCAAAAGGGTGTCACTGCACTTTTTCGTCCCTCTCAATAAAATTCAAATATAGTATAAAAACAATATATATTTTTTGAAATGCAGGAATTGGGACCCTCTAACAAACGGTACCATAGCAATGGCCCCTTCATTTGCTGGTTTCCAGCTTTGTAATTGACATTATTTATTGTCCTGGTGGTTATCTTCAACCTAACTCAGCACACTTTCAACCACTACCGTCTTCCTCTTTAATTTTCTAATTTTGATTTTTTACTTCTCCTATGCACCCTTACTTTTTCTACTCACACGTCCTCCTAGGACTACTCAATTTCTTTTATACAAAAACAAAAAAAGTTGATCTTTACTTAATAATTTTTTTCATAGGTTTTTCTGGAGTACACCAGATGACCAGAACATAAAACTCAAATCTCAGTCACATCAAAATTTATAATTTGATTTTATAATCAAAATTAGGTAGGGACCTAAGAATTTTTTTTTTTCAGATTAGTGACAACCCTGGAATGTATTTCTAAAAATATATATGCAGATATTAGTTTTTTTTTTTTAAGGAAATGAAGAAAGACAAAAGTTGAGTAACGTTTATCTCTTTTTAACTCTTATGTTAGGGTAAAGGAAGCAAAAACAAAACAACAGCTGAAATCCAAAGATACAGAGGCAGGGGCAGAGGCAGAGGCAAAGGTAGAAGAAATGGTTTGAAAGTTGTCTGGTCAAATTTAATGCTTTTGTAATTTGAACAGATTAAATATGACCGTTGCATATATTTAATAGAGCAATAAATATACATACTCTCTGCGATTGTCTCCATTCTATTCACGCACGTGCTTTGCAGAGTCTCTCCAAACTATCCTTGTCAACTTCTCTGCATTGCCGACCACACCTCCACCATGCTTCAATTTTACAATCTCCACAATAAATTTAAAATATGCTATCTCATATTTAAAACATAATATATTCCGTACAGTTAGGTCATACTAACAAAAGTTACACAAGCCATATTGATGGGCTGTTTTGTACAAAACGTGTCAATCCACCTCAATTTATATCTTCACAAATAAATTTCTGGGGAAGTTAAACCCATTTAAGTAGATAGAAAGTCCTTATTTATTAGGTCAGATGTGCTGATATTAAACGGTGATATTGTTGGAATTCGCGACGACTTTAATAATAAAGGGTTCGTCTATAATATGCTGATATATAAACACATTATTATTTCAATAATACTAACCTATGAAACCTCTCTCACAAACTCTAGGTGGAAGTTTATGATTGACTTAGTCACATGAACCTATTATTGGACAAGCAGACTCATGTGAACTGATGAATGTGAGGTGACACGTGGTGTTGTGAGAGGAAGTTAGTAAAAAGTGTTTATGAGTGTAGTGTTACTCTTATTATTTTGGATGATGATATAAAAAAAATCATAGTAAATACATTCATTACAAGAGAGGTAGAGAAATATTGAAATAATATTGACTCAGTTGGATATGAACCAAGATAAATCGCATGTGTTCTTTTTACTATTATTTTATTTATGTGTGGTTTTTTTTTTTTGGGGGGGGGGGGGGGGGGGGGGGGGGGGGGGGGGGGGTGTTGTGTTTCAAATACTTTAGAGCATGTCAATACAAGCCAACATTCAAGTGTCTCTGGGAAGAAGCTCCTTCATTTGAAGTTTTTGAGCTTTAAAAAAAAAAAACAGAAGATGAATTGAATTAATTAACAATTGACAATGTAACAAGAACATAATTATGTGTTCTTTTTAAGTCAGTTTGAGTAAAATAATGTATGTTGTTATAAAAACTCGCAACAACCAGAGGTACCCAGTCGACTATGGGAGGAGGACTAGGTAGGATGTGTGCGTGATTAAAAATAACCAGCTAAGAATGGATTAAAAAATCCATAACGGGAGAACAATAGAGGTTTTTAAAGTGGTTCAATGGGTATGAACCAAGCCTACGTCCACTATTATATTATTGCTTTATACACAAAGTGATTACATGGAGAAAACACGTAATAGCGAGCTAAAACTCTCTTTCAGTTGTTTCCTGTTCTTGTGTAAAAATCTGATCCCCCAAAACGGAGGTGGTTCCTCCCTTTTATACACATGTCTGACAATGGCTGGGAGTTGTCACATAATCCCCCGTAATCCGGATCTGAGTCAGCCCCACCCATGCTTAAGTCTTAACACCCATACTTAACACTAATGAGCTTGTTGGTGAATTCATCTACTATGAGAGCGACACGTGGGGCGAGCCTGACCGTTAGATGCCGATATGGTGTATGGACAGGTGACACAAATCTAGTTGTTGAAAAGTCTGCACAACATTAACCCCCCAATTTTTAGAGGTTGGAGTCGGACTTCAAAAACTTTTCTCTTATGATTTGTATGACAGATGAAGTGCGAGCTATGGCGCCTAGCCATTTGGCGAGCTTGGGATGTCTTGTCATGCTTGATGCCTTTTCTGCTGATGCCTTTTCTGCTAATGCCCTTTCTATCCACGTCATGCCTTGTCACATCCGAGAGCTTTTTGCTTGACTCTTTGATGGCGTATTATATGAAGATGAGCCCGTACATCTCCTTCAAGCCAACTGAAACGTTGGAGATGGTAGTTGGGAATGGTGAGTTGGCATTCGTACCTATTTTTCAAGTGCATTGAAGTGTTGGTATGATGACGATTCGGGAATGGAGAACAGTTGGCATCCCTTCCCACCTATAAATGCAGCCACCTTGGCTTGGGTTGTTATCTTCCATTGTTCTCATTCTTGAGCATTCAAAAAGAGGTTTCTATAGTCTCTTTTGGTTTATCAATTTGTGAAGGCTTCAGATTTTCATATTGCAAGGTTTGTCTTTCTCCTTTAATTTGTTTTGTTGTTTTTCTTACTGGCGCTTTACTTAGCATGTTAAACTAAAACTCTTCTCCTTTCCTTACAAGTGTCGTTGTTTGATAACTTCCTTTCCCATAAAGGGGATGACAATTACAATAGCGAGAGTTTCGGGCAACCGTCATCGATGCTCCTGCCGAATAACACATGGATTGCATCCCTTCATCTGGTCGTAGATTGAGGCGACGAGATTACTTTCTTGCTGGTCCATCCAAGCCAAGTCGAGCCCTCGTCTGGCATTCCCCTTGGTGACTCGTGCCCCAACTAGATAGAGGTTGGTACATCAAGGGGTGTCGATGACCGATGGAAGGTCCCAATGATTGATTCCTCTTAAAGGAGGAGAAAGAGCCCTTGAGTTTCGGCTGAAAGGGTAGTGTTTGGGGGCACGTCCTCGACTCTCATGATAATCGAGGGGAGGACCCTCTAAGAAGTGATCGAGGAGTTTGCAAATCACCTTTGCATTCCGTTGAGAGCTCTCTTTGAGCGTGTCCCTAGGGTGGCCTGGGACAAATTCAAGAAGCTCGACTTAGCCACCTTACTATGAAAAGCGGTTGTGGATCAGACTCTGATTCGTTTTTTCTTTTGCTTTTTGTCGCATAATCATTTTTCTCTTTCCCATGCAGCTTTTCTCCTTGATGACTTTCTTCTTCTGGAAGGCCTACCCTAATGATAATCCGAGGATTATACTATTTTATTTAGGCTTTTTGGCCGGATTTTGAATACTTCTTATTTCGTTTGTGCCTGAATTGCAACTTAATTTCACATATTTTATGTTTCAGGCCAAAACGTGCACTTTGAGCAAATAATGAATGGAATCGAGTTTTTGGACCCAGAAGCAAGCGAATCTTAGAATTCAGGGAAGTTCTAAAGCGGATTTGAAGCACTATAAAGCTTGTTCTCATTGGAGAGCATCAAAGATTAAAGATTCAAGCAAGGAAGCAAGCGGAGGGCAATTCTGTAAATTCAAAATTGTTCTAGAAGGTTAGCCACGGCGATAGACACTCGACATGAGATTTCAACTTAACTCGTAGCCGCGGCGAAAAATATTCTTCGCCACGGCGAAGTCTGTGATTTCCAATTTTATTCAAAACGTACAGTTTTATTTTAGGAAAGTTTTTAGGTTTTTGGACCGACTATATAAGAAAAACGTAGCCATTTTGAAAGAGTTTGTCACTTTTAGAGTAAGTTTAACATTTTGGGAAAGAAGGAGAGAAGGTTAAGATTTAACCTTGTGGATTCGTCAAACAGGGAAGATCTTTGTTCTCTTTTCTTAGTTTCAATATGTTGAATACATTGCTCACTGTTTTACTTCGATTTGTGTTAATTTTAGCATGAACTAACTCATCTTGGGTTAGGATTTTGATGTAATTTGGGATTTCTATGTTTAATCAATGAATTAGTGTTGTTTCTACATTCTATTGCATGGATTTTGTGATTTCTCTTGTTTTTCTTGAAAGTATTTGTTGAACATGATGAGATTGAGAAATGAATCATGTATGAGCTTCTTAGGAAAATCACCATTGTTGTATTGAACGCTAGAGATAGGTTTGAGAATCAATGAAATCAATCCGAGATTCCATTAGCTTAATGAACTTGGATCTATTAATCTTCAAATTATTGGGTGCGGAAGCTTAATAGGGAAAAGTAGGAATTCATAGCCTGAGAAGATATGTTTTACACATTAGGGAGTTCGATTTACAATCCGTGCATGTGAGTGTAGAAGTAGCATAATTCGTAGATTAATTCATAGAATCCCAATGAAGTCAAAACCCTAACTGTTTGCTTTACTTGATATTACTCTTGCTTTCATTAATTAGCCCTTTAAATACTTGGTAATTTTGTTTTCATTTTAGTTTAAATTCCTCCCGTCAATCCAAACACTTTTCGATTACTCCAACTTGATAACAATTAGGAAAATCAGTGCTTAACAACCAATCCTTGTGGGTACGATACTTTTCTTATCA